TTCTTCCGTGAGAGGTTATCTGCTATTCCGTTGTATTTGCCTGGAAGATATGCAGCTGTTAGAATAATCTTCATTTGATCTGTTATTTGAAGTACTTGATATGTTAGGTCCAGAAGTTCCACTAAATGAGTGCCTTCTTCTTTGTTGATATAGGATACTAGTGTACGGTTGTCGGTTTGTAAAAGTGTGTGAGCATTCTGCAAGTTGAGGGTTGATTGATTTATTGCAGCATAAACCGTAAACATAACTTTTTTGTTGCAATGCCAATTGCTCTGAGTTTTTTTTTTCATGATCCTGATAAGTGACAGCTGTTCAACTGGGCTTCCCATCCTTTGTCTGAAGTATCTGTTATGAGAAAATGAGATATTGGTTTTTTGTGCAACGGAGTAGTTTGGGTTGTCAACTGTTGCCACCAATTCAGTTCGCTCTTTACTGAAGGAGGAATTATTAATTTTTGACGTTGTCTGTGGTATTTGAATCGCCTCAGAAACCGTTGAAGATGATGACAATAAAGTATGCCCCTGTGCATTACGAAACTTGTAAAATTCAGGTGTCCTAAGATAATTTGTAATTGTTTCAGAGTACAGCTGTTTTTTGAAAGTATATCTGACATTGAGTGAGCTATTTTCACTGCTTTTGTATCTGGTAGACTTATAAGGCCTTTTTGGGTGTTCCAGATCAGAGTAAGGAAGTCTATTTCTTGACGTGGATCTAGGATGCATTTTCAAGTTTTTTTTTTTCCATCCAAGATAAGACAGAAGATTGACAGTTTCTGTCGTTTGTTCTGTTAACTTGTCTCTGTTTTGAAAGGCCAAGAGAAAATCGTCTATGTAGACTTTCACTCTTACACTTTTTGACCGAAGGATTTCTACAACCCAATTCGTCACTGTCGTGAAGGTGTAAGGTGCAGAAGAGAGGCCAAATGGGACGCTCGTCATCTGAAGAAGTTCCTCGTCGTAGATAAGAGGGAGAAGGTTGCGGTGAGACTCTGCTATTGGAATGTGAAAGTAGGCTTGAGTTAAATCTATTTTCGTCATCTAGTCTCCGTCTTGTAGAAAGATAAGGTGAAATTTTTTTGTTTTTACATAAGCGTCTAATCCTCTTAGATCAAATATAGGTCTGATTTTCCCAGAACTTTTCGTTTTCAGAAACATTTTTGAGATAAAACTTGAATTTGGATAAATTGGAGTTTTTGATCTTTCATTATTTGAATTTGATTTTTCATTTCTTGAGAGACATTTGTTTTAAAATTTGAAACTATCAAGTTTGATATTACAGGTGGTTTTGAAATTAGTGAAATTCTTGTACCTGAAATGATCTTTAGAATGAGTTTTGGGGCACCCATTGATTTTCATCTGTTTTTGAAATGAATCAATTCACCCCCTGAAAAGCTCTGGTTTTTTAGATCATTTTTGTGGTTTTTTTTACAAAAAAATCGGTGTAATTTTGATTTGGATTCTTCTTTTTTTTGAGGAGATTTTGATTTGTTATTAAATTGTCGATGATGATGATTTTAAGTAGAAGATTTGTTAGAATGAGATGAATAAGTATGATGGTTGATATTTTTTTGAGTCTTGAAATATTTTTCCTGGTAAAGTTTTTTATTGAGGTAGGATGGTGTGTTAAGCCAAGTTTGGGAGCCCCCTAATGATTGAATAATGAAACATAAACGATCTTTAAAAAAAAGATATTCTTTGCTTAGAGGAATTTTTCGCAGTGCTGTTTAAATATTTTTGTTTGGAAGATCTATAAGAATGCGACTTCTTATTTAAATACATTCTGATCTTTTTCCACAAATAGTATGTATTATTTGTTCAAGATTTTTTGATAATTCAGAAGTTGCACCGAACGTGTCTGATCGGAGATTGAATAGAGAGTCAGGATTTAGATCAGTAGGACTCATAAAAGCCCATTCAATAATCTTTTGAAGGCTATTTTTTAGAACATCTTGTTGATTTAAAACAGCATTTGTTAATCCTGCTAGGACTGTTCCTGAGGGAGCAAAGAGATCTTTTGTCTTGTAAAATAGCAGAGTTCTTCAATAATGTTTAGTTCCGTAAAACCCGGAAAAGCTACAAAATTTTTGAGTGAGGGAATGCATCTCACCTCTTTCCACTCTGAAGAATCAAAACGTTGAAGGGTTTTTAATGCCTCAAGACGATCCTTGTGTGTCGGTCGTATGTTTCGTTTTTCTTCAATGTTGGTTGTGAGTTGGTCCAAATACAGAGTTTTATTTGATGGTTTATGTAAAAGATTCTGAATAGAACTAGATGATGATGGTTGCTGTTGATCTTGATGTGATTGGGCTTCTGAGAAAATTAGGTTTGAGAGGACGTTGATTTGGTTTTGTAGTGCAGAGATGTGGTCATCGTCGTTGAAACGTGCTCTTTTAGTTTGTTTGTAACTTGGAGAAGGTTCTTGATCTTCGTCACTTGAATCTTCTCTTTCACAATCTATTTCTGATTCACTTAAATCAGATTCTGACAATCTGCGATAAAAAAACACACCAGCTTCTCTCATAAGGATGCCGTGTATCCGGCCAAACTTAATACGACCTCCCTTTCTTTGACTGTAACCCCGACTAGTTGGCGGTAGTTAAGGAACGGCTAAGAATTTTATCCGTGCTGGGGAAACTCTAAGATTAGTAACCAACACAAAATCAATATCATTAATTATATGTTGGAGGGCGGGTTCGTTGCCCAGTGTAAAAAGGTTCGTTCAAGCCCCTTTTGGTTCAGTCCAGTTCTCTTAGCAAAGTATACCTATATATAGCGAACCAAACAGAACTAGTTATGTATATATAAAGGTAAATTTTTTTAAGAGAACCAAACCGAACCATAAGGGGCTTGAACAAATCTATTGAGCGAAATCGCTCGGGTTGCTAATTCCATGAAGAAAAATATGATTGATTTTTCCTTTGTTAATTCTCTCTTATTCAAAGTAAATTTATTTATATCTCTTTGGGCAAAAATAAAATTCTTCTACGTAAAACTTACTTCTATTTTATGCAACTCAATTTCTTATCGACTCGTAAACTTATAAATAGACAAAACAATGAAAATTTCCAATTAAATTGTAAATTAAATAACAAAATCCTTAATAATTAAATTCTCAAATAAACTTTAAGTAATATACTCGCAATCACCTATGAAGGGATAGGTTTAAATAAACAAGTACAATAAATTATTCTCTTTCTTGTATTTATTCACTTTTATTTTAATAAGGAAATTATATTTTCAATCTCTAGACTTTTCACTTATATTGATTTTAATAATTAACGCAATATTTTAATTTACAACCAAAAAGTTTCTATTTTATTTCAAAGGATGTGAATCACTTCGAGATGAGTTGAATTTTGCGCTTGAATACAAAATGAATTATATTTTTAACTTGAAAATTTTGCCAAATTTCTTATATTTTAAAGGACTTTTAAATTTTCACGCACAATTTCTCTGCGACGTATACACTTAGGACTAGGGCAGATGATTAGTACAGCCACGGACTGTTAGTCCTGGGCTCTGTGCCTATCTTGAAAGAATCACGTAGGGCTAGGTTGTCCTCGGGGTCTTGGGGTACTGGAGCTCTAGTAATCTACCCAAGTATTTCGCCCAAGAAGCGCCATCACTATCCCTAGTATCTCTACTACGTGGTTGCTCTCTCTCTTGGCTCGTGCTCATCGCGGTTAATCTCTGGTTAGTACCGGCAAGTATCGGTGCACGGGAGAGCTCCAGGTCTGGGTAATAGGCAGTGGATCTCCACGTCCCGGGTTTGCTGGAGGAGGAACGTGTTTCCTCGCGCGTCAGTGCCTTTTATAGCCAACTTGCAGATAATTTTTCGCCGTAATCTGCGCTATCTCTCTGTGCACTATCGATCATAGGGTGTATTCGGAAATGATGTTTTGGTCAGCTCTTAGGTTGGTATCTACCTCTACCTCTACTTAACTAACCGAGCGTATGTTCAGGCACTGTAAACACCGTTCAGTTGATCAGCTGATTTTGGAGCAAGTTTTGGAGTAGAACTTCTACTGTAGTATTATCTGTTTAATAAAACACTACCTTAAAATAAATAATGAAATTTAATATCTTTTGTACTACATCGTCTGCGTCTAAAACTTGTTTCAAAGTCAGCTGATTAACTAAATGGTGTTTACAGTGACTGAACACACGCTCGGTTAGTTAAGTAGAGGTAGGGGTAGATACCAACCTAAGAGTTGATCGAAACATCATTTCCGAATACACCCACACATATTCGCCGATGTTCATTGCGCATATCTTATCTAGCTTCTTGCGCACTTGACAGAGCACATTATATACTTCGCGCCGACTCTTTGAATTTCAACTTGTCGAATTTAATGTATTTTTATTAACTATTTTGAGAAAAAGTAAAACATATAATAGGAATAAAAATTGTATTTTATAAATTTCTAGGCCATAAAGAATGCCCCCTTGCAATAATAAACAATCTTTAACACACAGATTGATTCTAGCTTGAGAAAATCTAACTCACAGCATTCAAAATCACTGTAAATTCTGTTGTACAATAAAGAAAAACAAAATACTTTGAACAAAGTCAACTACTACATGTTTACACCTATACGATACTATTACAATTAAATTTTTTAAAACTGATTTTAAATTAACTATTGATTTTTATAAATTATCGAGAGTGATTAAATTAACTTGCACTACATTCATTGAAAATTACCTTTTACGAAACCTAAACTTCGACTTTGATAATTTAATAAATCAATTTTCAAACATGAAATGTATAAACGTAAGTAGCTAAAATAAATTGTGATTTGTATTGTTACATGTAAAACTTCTATTAGGTATTATCCTAATCTACTTTCTACTTTTGAAAAGTATAATTTTCATTTTCTCACATATGGGTGGCGCAGCATTGCCGCCTATAATGCCAAAAATTATCCGCCTCTGCGTTCAACTTTTACTGGCTCATCTAATCATCTTCAAACGTATAATTTTATTGTGTTTTGAATGCAGGTTCAGCAACAAGCCTTGAAGAGTCTCGAGAGTCAACACCTTCGACTAGAACAGTGGCTAAGAAGTATGAAAGTGACATTGAAATCCTTAGTAATCCCAGTCAGAGTAGTATCGAAGTACTTGATGATGGTTCCAAGTAAGTTAAATTTATTTTATACTTTAATTTCTCAAAATAAATTTGATTATATACTTTTGCATGAAAACTCAAATCATTAAAGCATGATTTTTCTATCATGTTAGCTGCTAATAATTGATTATCATTCCACATATCTCTTATAAGCTTACACATCATGAACAAGCGGCTAAATTAATGCAAAACATTTCGTCTTGCATGTGAGGCACGATCAATCTACGATGTGCTGGAGCAGATATAGAGTTATTTAAAAATCAGAATTCAATTTTGATTTTATGTCGTCACATTCAACTGAGTTTTAATATCAATATGCTAACTTTAAATTAAGAATAACTAACTTACGTGCTACAAAATGCTTTTTCAGCCATTTTACAACGTTTTATGTTTTTTACTGTATAGTAAAAACACTACAGATAAAATCGTTCAATGCAAACAAGTGTATCTTTAGAAAATCTATAACTTTTATACCAAACGTTTTGTCTTAAAACGTGATGTAAAAAAATTAGATGACATAAAACGATTTTTTTGGCAATTTTGAAACGATTTTTGACAATTAAATCGTTGAGGAGGCACTTAACAGAAAAAAAATTTTCACAAAAAAGTTTCATTTTACTAAACTCTACTAAGCTCTACAAATTTTGTATTGAAAATTTTATTGTAGAATTTGAATTTCTGTTTTTCGTGAGCCAAAAAGGTTTTTTTCGGTGTTTTTGTATCTATTTTTTATTATGGAGCGTCTGCATTGCGATCTAGAGCAAAAAGTAAAGTACAAAAAAGTTGTACTTTAACGAGATCTACAACTCTCTTTGAATGCGGACGTGTAAAATGTACGTGAAAAAATATTCTTAAGTTGAGTTATCTCGGAAAAACTTGTTTTCTTATTTAAAAATGCTGTCAAAATTTTTCCTTTTGATGAAACTTATTTGAATGTAAACCATTAGGTAAGAGATCCAACCAAAAACTACCGCCAAAATTTGAGCCTATATGGATGATAATTATTTAAATTAGTCGAAAAACTTGATATGTACGTCCTCACGTGTACTATGTGACCGATTTAGATCACCCTCATACTTCAAAATTTGTTTTATATTAAAAATAGACGATTTTTAAGTGGTTGCCTGTTTTTACTTGACAAAATAGAGGCCTCCCCGCATTCATTGGTCGTGCCTAACAATACAGTAGTATTTTTCTTTTCTTTTATTTACAGGGTTACCGCGACAGCCTATTGGTCTCGTCACCAGGGCCACCCCCTCACCACCTATGTGTGGGGGTGTTGCCGCACCTATTTACGGAAGCCCGCATAGCTCACCTCTCACTTATCTCAGGCTCTCACTGAGTATCATGTGGTGCTCTCTATCTCCACACAGTTGGAGCTAGCAGAGAGTAGAATATCGCTGTTTTGAGATCTGGCGTGTTTTTATTTACAAAAAAGAGTTATGCGTTAGCATAAGCATGAATCTATAGCTAATAAAATTATTTGTTAATCAATACAGTTGGTTCTCCGCATGATTCCCTGTGACTATCGCTTTGTGTAGCCCACCTCTCACTGTGTGAGAGGTAAGGTAAAGTACCCTCTATTCGGACACATAATTTTAGGTAATCCACTATTTCTAAATTCACAAAGAAATTTGCTGTTTTTGCGAAAAAGACGGTTGACGTATAGATAATAAAGTAAACTTTTCTGTCACTTGAAAAAAAGAGTTCTTTGTGACCGTGTGATCATTGTTTAAAATAATTATAAAGATTCAGTCTCGAAACCCCTATATTCGGACAATGCATTTCTAAATAGTCCAAATATAGGTCCCGTTACGACGTAGGGACCATAATCCGGACAGTGGTGAACATTGAGAAAATGAGGTTATGGCAGATCTTTATATACATTTATATTTTACTTTAATAGCTTTCATTTGTTAAACAAATGCAAAAAACAAATTATTATTGTATTTTACTACATAGTATACCATTTCTTTGCACTTGTAAGCTAGTGAATTGCTGGATTATGTGTGTCCGAATATGGGGTACAGTTTGAACCGTAGTATCTAATTTCCGGACAGCAGCCAAACACAAAAAACCTCGATTTGCAAGAAAAAACATTTCTTTCAATGAATTATCAAATTAATTCGACAAATGTTGTAACTATCTTAAATCAATTTGATACTGTAGATTACAAATAAATTTTTTCATTCAGAAATTATTAGAAAATTATGTAATTATCGCTGCTGTCCGGATATAGGTCCGAACAACACTTTTGTCCGAATATAGGGTACTTTACCTTAATACCCTCCAACCTGTTACTGTGTGAGAGGTGGTACTGGTTCCAACCTCTCACACAGTTGGTACTATAGTTGCGACTGTGAGTCGAAAACCACTGTTTTGGTTTCTTTGCGTTTCTTTTTTAGAGGAACTAAAGATTAATATTTAATCATTAGCTTGAAGTTAAACGTATGAACAGCAAATATTATATGGACTGTAACTGAAAAAACCAGTGGACAGTGGGTGCTTGCGTACCCAAGTAAGAAGTTATACTTGTTAAAATTACATGGCAGATAATATAATTATAAATATAAATATACCTTCCATGAAACGATATGCTGTGTACAAAGGTGGCGCAATTTTCGTTGGAATGAGTATACCTACGTTAGTTGGATGTGGTTTCAATAAATATTTTAATATTTAATAACTGAAACATTATAAACAATATATTATGGCACTATACAATATAAACAATGTCCCTTCAAGTTCATCACACATAGATTTTTTGACAGATATTATTCAAGCATCAAAAGAATACTAAAAAAAACTATAAGAAATTCCCCAAAAAAAATTGCAGATTATTCAACTGTACCCACATGTTTAATTTTAAAAATTTGCAATTTAACATGTAACCTTATGGAAAAATCACTTAAAATTACATTTATATGATCTGTATAAACCCCCAGTTTTTTTTCTTTTATAAAAGATTACTTTAAGGGGGCTCCTTCGCGAAAGTCCCCAAACAGAGATATATTATTTCTTGTAAATAAAAGTCTACTGAATTTAATGGTGGTCTAAATTATATTTCGAATGGGTCAAAATTTTGAGAAATCCGAGCTCAAAGTTGTAACTATTAGCACGTGTTCCTATGGGGCAGCGTGAAAAACAATTTGTTTTCGTTTATAATAAACCTAAATTAAATGTCCTAGCAGACTGAATATATGCGTTTTGTAGATGAAGTCTTCCTCTGTAATATGCTGTATTAAAAATTGTGGATAAAGGACAATTTTAGCGAGATATTTGTGATGGAAATAAATAAATAGTGTCCGGGAGGTCAGGAGGTCACGTGGGTAGCAGACGTACTTGTTCACGACATATATATACCATATACCTATATATTACATCGCTATACTACACCAACACAGGTGGTCTGGTCTGGTGGTGTACCCTCGTATGCACTAGACTGGTCAAAACAATAATTAATTTTTCGTACAAAGTTAAACTACACACATAAATATCATTTTTCCCACTTCATACGTTATTAAAAATATCATAATGATTTTCAGACACATTTGTTTATTGAAAAACAAAACTTTATTTTTTGTTTGTCTTTGACCGCAGCAGTAGTCGTAGGAGCCCCCTTAAGGTAAACCTGTTTCATTTTCAAATAGATCTATATATATTTTTTGATTTGTTTAATAACACAAGAAAGAAGGAGTCAAGTATGCGTAAAAGCGTAAGCTGATCCATATAAGAAAAATTTTTTTTTTAAATATGAAAATTATGATAAAATGTGAAAAATTGTATAAACAATTATCAACTTATTTTAAAAGAAACAAATTTATGATAAGTGAATAAATGTTTATTAATATATATAAAAGCTACTCTGCCGAGATAAACTGATTTCCAAATTTTTAAAAAAAACGGGTACCAAAATATATATTTTATGAAATAAATTAATTATTCATTTGAGGTATAATTAAACTAAAAGTAAATAAAAATTTGTACTAGAAATATGTTACGAACTGTAAGATAAAGTTATGTAATCGGTTTTCTATTGTCGGGCTTGCTCATAGCAGAGTAGGTAAGGAGCTTGCACAGTGAGCAAGAGGACGGGGGTTCCAATCTCTTTGAAAACTGTTAACATAAACAATTTTTATACATGTAAACAAAATTAAATAACTCTACTTTACTGAACAGACAGGAAATCGTCAATTTTTAATTTGTTGCAACAATTACTTCAACATATTGGGCACTGTATTAAAGGTGAGCTGTGAAAAGAGGTAGTCGAAGAAAATCATGCGGAGAATCAACTGTATTGATTTATAAACAATTTATAAAAAATTTCATAGGCTATAGATTCATGCTCATGCTAACGCGTAAGCCTTTTTTATAAATAAAAACACGCAAGATCTCAAAACGGTGATATTCAACTCTCTGCTGCTACCTCCAACTGTGTGAGAAGCAGAGAGCACCACTTGCCACTCAGTGAGAGGTGAGCTGTACGGGCTTCCGTATTTACTAATCTCATAACTGATATCATACCTGTCATACCATGGGTACAGTGGAAATACCTCCGGTAGAACATCTTACCAGTTAAGCTAATACTCTCTGCCATAGAGATATATAAATGGAGCACGCCAGAGGTCTAGTTTACTATTGGGATTCCAAAAGGTCACGTGACTCTCGCGATATATATAGTCACTTGAGGGAAAAATAACACGGGCCTTATGGGTGCAATTCTATTTTTATTTTTTTTACACGTTCAACGATTATAATACGACAAAAGCCTTTTGATAACATATTTTTGAGGAGATGACAATACTTAAACTATTTTTTTCTAACTCAATTAGTCTTTTGCAGCTCCAAACTTTTCTTTGAAAGTGCGACAACGCACATTTAACCTATACAAAGTTCTCCCGTTCTCGACTATATACCTATAGAAAAACAAGCAGGATTTTAATAAGGTTAAATGTGCGTTGTCGCACTTTCAAAGAAAAGTTTGGAGCTGCAAAAGACTAATTGAGTTAAAAAAAAATAGTTAAAGTATTGTCATCTCCTCAAAAATATGTTATTGAAAGGCTTTTATCGTATTACAATCGTTGAACGTGTAAAAAAAATAAAAATAGAATTACACCTATAAGGCCTGTGTTATTATTCCCCCAAGTGACTATATATACCGCGAGAGTCACATGACTTTTTGGAATCCCAATAAGAGGGTGCGATACGTGGAGTGAGAGAGAAGGCTGCCAGTGAGTCCCCTTGCATCTTTGTCTAACCAAAGCATGCGGAACTGCTCACTATCAGTGTTCATGGCTACTAGACAAAGACACACGGGGACTCACTGGCAGCCTTCTCTCTCACTCTACGTATCGAAAAATTTGGCCCCGGGCGTGCTCTATTCCAATATCTCTATGCTCTCTTCACCAATAGTGAATCAGATCTGCTCGTCACTGTGTAGCCCGTTTCCGGAGAAGACTATACGTATTTCAGGATGTTCTCTCTTCCCCGGTTAAGCCGGCTATCCCGGCCGAAGCATCGAATCCACTAATCCCTGCCTATTGGGATGTAATATGGGCCACTAGGGGGGGTAATAAATTCAACATGGCGCGGAAGAGTCAACGCATATGCATGCGCAGCATAGGACTCGGAGGCTATTTTTCCTCCGTGTTTAAATTTTTGATGACAATGAGGCCCGTGCGTTTTTCTAAACTATATTTTCATCAGGAAGCAGCTCCTGGTGCACTTTTTTATACTCTAGAGCTATGTATATCACGGAAATCTGAAATAAAATACGCAGCTGATGATAGCTCTCCCGCGTATACATATATCTACAGCAGTGCTCGTATACATATAGGTACAGCACTCTGTCAGCAGCTACGTATTTAATTCGGATTTTCGTGAGTTCTAAAGTTTTGCCAACCATTAATGTTGCTAATAAAATAAAATCGTATAATCTCGATGTCATTGTTATTACAATTGACTTGCTATAATAATAATGCCACGACTTTCATGAATTTTAACATTTCCATCGATTAGGTCGATAACTCCACGCAGAAAGCGCTCATCTGAGGAGAGGAAAGTCGCCATAGCACCAGCATTAGTAACAATACCAGATACCAATCTTGTTATGGCGGGACTGACCGAAAGTAGCTCATCAGGTTATTTATATCCCTTCCTGTGCCGTCTATTCTTTTTGTCTGGCTCGAAAATCTAAACACAATTGAATGCTTTGATCAATCCAATGTGAGATTTTCTAACCAGATCTTAACAGTATACTAAAAAAAAAAAATCATATTTGATACGCCTCCTGATTAAAAGAAAAAAAAAATCTACTACCGTCCATTCGCAGGTTCATTGACTGACAGTGTGTGTACCGCTTATGAAAAAACAGCCGCTAATAAGTTATCCGATAAGAGTGAAATGTTCAACAGCAGAGGCGGCACCGACAGCGATGCAGAAACCATCAAACCTGAGACTCTGGCCGAGTTGGAGAGCAGCTTTGCTCCCATGACGAATCTCACCACAATGCTAGGTGGTGAGTGTACTCATGTTATTTACTATTATTCTTAGACCGTCGTTGTGCACCGCTCATTCGAAATTTTAATACCACAGAGCTGCTTCAGAGCATGAAAATTGGCACGGTTAAGGATGCGACCTCAAAGTCCGAGGAGAGCTCCGAGTTCATCAGCAGCAGTATACAGTACTCTTACACGGACTTTAGTAACGTGGACCACAGAATCAAGCTCCACATCATACTGAACGTCTTTGAGCACGAAAACGAAGATCTTGTTCTCTTGTTGCGCGTTAGTTCTTATCTTACTGGTACAATTTGGTCTGGGGGGAAAAAAAAAAGTTATCCACATACTACTTACTTTTAGGCTGACATCTTGACTCGCATCTCCATGAACACGTTTCCGGGATGCTTGGTCATGTCGACTGCTAAAGTGTACATTTTAAAAATAACTGGACCTGAAGGGTGAGTATGCATAAATACGACCACATAGATTAATGTATTTTATAAAAATATATCGAAAATGACGACTTACACCTTACTTTTATTTGACGAACCAGAGAAGATCCGCAACGCTGGCTGCACAAGGAAGCTAGCTGGACGATAGACCGACTAAGATGCTTTGCCCCACTGCCATTTAAACAAGGCGTGCTAGTCGAGCTACAGCATCCCAATAAGCCCGGGGAGGGCGTCAACAACAATCTAGTCGTATGCATTCTTCAAGATTTTCAGAGGACGTCGAATTTTTTGTTCTATCTGACAGATTCTCCGCTACCCGCCAGCTGTGAGGTCGAATTCATAGTACCACAGAATTGTAATACTTCCATGAAGGACATTTTAAAGTCTTCCAAGAGCCACAGGGAAAACGACTCTGTGCGCCTGCTAGCGCTCTTTTCGTCGGCCGTTCTTACATTATCAATCGACACTGTCAAGCTCAAAGTATCCAGTTTGATCGTTACTCAAAATAATTTGATCGTCACTCAGGACAAGATCGATTGGCTCTTATCGGATAACAGTGACAAACTACCGACCATAGCTTCCGAGCAGGCCATGAGTAATTTGATCGAAGTGGTAAGATTTAACTACGGTACGTTGTATGTCATCCCCTAAAGTTAATTCTGATTGATTGTTTACTGTCAGCAGAACTTTAATGGGTCCAAACTGACTCTCAGTTTTCTGGACGAAGTAGCGGGTGCTGAGGCGATCTGGTGCTTAAGCTTCGTGTCGCCTGGCGCAGCCGAGACCGTGATAAATTCGATTCGTCCACCCTGGGAGGAGATGTTCTCGGTACCGCTTCAGGTGATCAATAGCGATGCCACTGCAGCTCTGCCAATCGAGCACATATGACGACAAAACCAGAGTGTCTACGTCGAGCTTATTCGGCTCGTCATTGTGCACAATATTGTTCACATCAAGCGCTTCATTCTCACTTGTGTCATGTATGTCTACTTGCTGTGCAATCTCGCCGGAAATGAGTTTGCGTATAAGAAGGGACACTGAGTTGGAATTAACGTTTATGGTAATGAGACATCCATCCTAACACTTAGTGCTTCTTGAGATTTCATTTATTTTTTTTTTTTAATTGTTCATTGACTTTATCAAATTTGCGCGCGTACACGTATGTGTATGTGTGTGCGTGCGCGTAGGGATAGGTGTAAATTTTTTAATACTAATTCTATTTGAAAAATGTGTTAAATGAATTTACGAGTACAATTATTTGTATATACCAGTGGCCTGAAAAGTAAATATTTCCGTCTGCGGAGCGGACATATCCCGGGGATATATTCACTTGCTAGCCGCTGAGGCACGAAAAATTGTATACTCACCACGGCTGAAAGTAAAGAAGCCTCAGATCATCCGTCCGTGTATCGACAATACACAGACGATCAAAGAGTTTCCTTACTTTTTTGGCCCAGGTGCATAATGTACTGTATAAGGAATTGCAAATAACTATTACAAATTATCTATTAAAAGACCATTATTTTTCTTATAATAATACTCGATTATATTCTTATAATAATATAATACTCGAAGCGTGATAAACAAATTCGAATTAATTAGATGTAGGTATAACTTAAAAAATATTGATGCATATTTTTGAAAAAGTCTATTTCTAATTAATCTGCTGTTATTTACTGTTTGTTGAAGGTTCATGAAATATCTTAGATATAGTGATTCCTACGAAGTTACTATCTTGCAGAACTGCTATATCCTGAAAGATACATTTTTTTATAAGTCATGCGAAAAAATTGCGTGCCTCTAAAATTTATTTCAAAGCTAATAATCAAATTATTTGAAAACAAAATTTTCAAATATGTACCCACGCAACACTAAAATGTTTGCACAGTTTAATTTATTTGCTAACATATACGTACTATTAATAGGCTGTACTATTACTAAATAAATGCTTACATTAAAAAAGAAGGGTCGATGCAATAAATATCAATGTGAAAAATTATTGTACATGTAAAACTAATAATTTATACATAAAATTAAATATACTAGCCTAATTTACATACAGGCAAGCAAAGAAGCAATCAATGCTGTAACGATGTGATTCTGTGATAGTTTCTGTCTTAGTCAACTTGTAAAATATAAATAAAATGCAAAAAACTGGAAAAAAAAACAATCATCAACAAATCACAATGTAGGCATAAAAAACGTGTGCCTGCATGTTACCCAAAGGTTTATAGGGTATGAAAAACACATGCATGCTGACAGTAAAAATATAATTTTTCAAGATTTATTTTTCTAACATATTTAAAAGCTCCCCTTACACTACTGATTAGTACTCTCAGGCTATTTAAAATTTAGGAATATTGCAATTATGGAAGTATGACGTGTCTGTAAATATATCTTAAACTAATTGCAACAAATTTTGTTAAATTTATGAATAGTGGTTTGAACTTTGAATAACATCTCATTAATTAACAATAGTATTAAAAAAAAAAAAAATGTATAACAAAAAAGTAAATTTATGAGTCATCAGTAGCACGAAAAAATGATTTGATTACTATATAGATTTGATCCTGATATCTGGTTTGGTTTAGCTTGGCTCGGTACTGAGCAAAAATGTCTTATTTTTTAACTCTAAATAACAATATGTACGTAATTATTGAGAAAACTCACGTTTTACTTTCTTGTGTAGATAGAATTTTGTATCCATCCGATAAAAATAAAGTTTTTTTAAAAATATATTTAAAAAATGTTTACACCAAGCCTTGCTCAAAAATGTTTCACGGAAAAATTTTTTTCGAAATTTATAAAGTTGTAAATTCACAGACCAGGAGGTAGGTATATATATATATATAAGAAGGAAGAAGAGTGGGATGTGGTGTGGGGTGACTAACTCTTACAACTAATCGGTGTATTGCCTGAGTTATGGTCAGCTATCTTACTGATAAACACTAGGGATAAACATCACTGGAATAAACATTCATGGTTTTTCTACAAAATTGAAGTGGACTGACGTTATTTCGGACCCCCGTCCATACACATCCGATCCCCCTTTATTTTATAGTGCCCTCTTGGCTTTCCCTACCCCCTCCTCTTAATGTCAGTTAAAACTACAATAGTTTATCCGTTATTTCATGAGGTATAATTTTCAACCCAACTTCAACACCCTAATACTTTATGATACCCTATCAGCCTCGCCTTAGCTACTTTTAATATAAAGTAAAACTATTTAAGTTTGTCATTTAATTTCGTTAAATTTTCTATTTGATCCCTTTAGTCATGCAACTACTTTTTAACTCATACTTTAACAAATATAAGAAAAAATTCTTTCGATTTTTTGCTTCCTTTAACGGGTTGCGTTTTCTGTTGCGTACCTCTTATCCTTCTTGAAATATTACAACAAAATTGTAATCTCAAGTGCACTGCTTCAATAACTATACATTAATTTTGGCAAATATTATTAAATGTAAAATGTATTATATTATTTTGTGTAGAATTTGCTAACGCATTACCAAACCACCATTGAAGTATTGCTATGGTACGCTTTTTTTTAATCCCTAAAAAGTTTATTTATTGTGTTATCAAATATGTATAAATACATGACATAGGTAGTAGTATCTTACTCAGTCAAAAAACAATGAATAAGCTTATGGAATGTTTATGCAATGGACCTCGTCAGCATTTATATTTACCACGTAAAAGCAAAAGTCCTTTTTCCCTGTTTATCGAAATATGTTGGTTAATTTGATTAAATTCAACCTTTTGTAACGTACGATATACGAAGGATACCATACTGACTCTCCCTAGTAACAGCAAGGCTCTTTATCAAGAAGGCATCGACAGGTGGGGAACAAGCTAATAATATATGAGGCCCAGCGAGCCTCTAATAGCAGCAGTCGGGCAATCAACGAGTCGGGCAGTTCAAGGGGGTCAGGCGAACCAAGGAGATCGGACAGACCAAGGGGAGTACACGACGAGACTTAGAGGGGAACACACGCGCTACTTTGCCTTTAATTTCGGTATCTTGAATAAAGCTCTTGATATAATCAGTGTTGGTCAATTCCACGACGCACCTCCTCACCGATATCATTCCCACGTAACAGTTTTGGTGCTAAGTGTGGGGTTTGGTGAGAATCGGAATTTTTTATTTTACGCGTTACAAAAAAAATTCCACCGAGAAGCACACATAGTGCCGCGAGAATATGACGATTTGAGTGACAGCAGCCCGGAAGCCAGTAGGACTATCTAGGGTACTAATTGCTGATAATCACGGGATAAAGCAGACAAAAGGCGAGAGAAATGGTCTCCAAAATTTTATTTCTATTGGTGTGCATAGCAACGTGCACGTAAGTACATTTGTAGTAAATTTTTTTTTCCCTTACTCCCGAGGCACTTATTAGGAAAAGATAGGGTTGGGGAAAATTTTTAATTTCAATATATATTTATTTTTTCGCCGGCTACCCTTTTTTTTAGTGGTTTTTTTCTCGAGACTCGGAACACCCTGCATATCGTACGTTACACTATTAATGCTACTTANACGAAACAAGCGAAGGAATTTTCAACAGACAAACAAGAAGAGCCGAATATACATGATTTATTGGAGGGAAGGTCTGATGAATTGCGGGCTCTAGTTATGATCGACATTAAAAAGCAAAATGTAGAAGGCAGACCAGGAATGAGGATAGATATGTGGGAGCCTAGCGAGATAGTAACGACAGACAAAGCAGCGCTACGCACAACAGACGAAGTAAACGAAAACACACATAACGGGGGGAGTATGTCTCAGTCAGAGAAAAATGAGAACACGGTACGAAACGAGCGCGATGAGCAGCTAGAAAAATTTGCACCCCCAGATAAATGGCTAGAATATTTAAAAGATGAAACGCGAAGGAAAACTTGTAAATGCATACAACCTGGTAGTTCTCTGACAAAAATATCGGAAATACCATCCGACCCACCCAGAAACTGTTTGTTTCACAGCCTTATATGGTTGTACGAACTCGACTTCTCAACTACTGAGTTACGGACGATTCTGCGCAATTCTAATTTATTACAAAAATGCAGAGAGCCAGAACAAACAAAGGAAATGTTGGAGTCACAATCAATGTATGGGAACAGCGCTTGTACTTATGTGTTCTCTCAAGAATTTAAGAAAAATATTTGTGTACATTTTGCACTAACCAATGGAAATTATATTTACACTCATTACATTGCTACGACAGACGGTGAATTTGGCCATTACGAGGAAAGGCAGGAGGGCCCGCAGAAAGAGTAATCGGATAAAGGCGCCGGACACATATATAGAGAATGACGAACCCAAGCTTTCAGAGTGTGACGAAGAAATAGAGCAGCTTTCCAGGAAAACTATAAAACTCGCGAAAACAGGGCACATGCCACCATCGATATATATTTATTATTTCGCTGGCTACCCTTTTTTTTAGTGGTTTTTCTCTCGAGACTCGAAACAAAAATCACGTGGGATAACAAACTTAAATATACAGTTGACTAGACAATTTTTTGAATAAAAAACGGGAAACAAAGAGATTTTATTAGTACGCCTGGTACAGACACAGGGAACATCCGTAATTAATTACTTACACCCACATCGGCTGAGGAATTTATAACTATCTTCATTATTATTATCTTTTTAACAAAAATAAACGACAGACAGCCCCAAAAGAATAGTTCCTCCCAATTACCACCAAACAAAAATAAAGCGATAAAAAGCAAAAGTCAAGTGAAAAACGAACGCCGCTCTTTTACGGTCTCATCTCGCTACTTACGTTTCTATTCGTCGAATTATTATTTAGCCACCACGTAGGTAATGAAATACAGCCCTGCAGCTAGGAAAATAAACAAGATTTATTACAATCAAGAAAGGAAATACGATGCACGACACATATATAGATATAAGAAGTAGAAAGAAAAATGACTCAGTTCGGTGACTTTATTAACGAGCTGGAAGGCGATAACGAAGGCCCGGGTAATGATATTATAGCCGACATGGGCAGGCCAGGGCCCAGTAGAAGACAGCAAAAAAAAAATACAACGAAACAAATGTTAGAATTGGAGCTCGAACCAGAATTGTGTGAAAAACTTGACGCCCTAGACGAAAAGACTAAGGCTATAGTAATGGGGTTGTTTTCAATGATTAGGACAAAGCTAAAGAAGACAAAGGAGGTGGAGGTCCCGCACAAGGTGGTCACAGAAACCATCCGAAATTTGTCACCGACAAATGGGGATTACAGGGATATATCTTGTGACACAGATGTGAACACAGGATGTAAGAACAAAGAAGCGGGTCTTTTTTCGAGTGGATTATACAATTAAAAAAACAATTTTTAAAAAACTTGAAATTGTATATGATTTCTTGTTTTTCTTTTCTACTTATTCAAAAATACTTCAAGTCCTCAGTTTTACTGTTATCACACAGATGATACCATCTGTACTGATCGATATATGTTGGAAAAATCTGATTTTAAACTAATTTTTATTCATTATTTGTGAAAAATTTACAGCTGTAGTTTATAGCTATATTTATAGCTGAATTTAATACATTATTATAGCTGTTTTAAAGGTAGTTATGGCTATAATTATAGCTATAAATTATAGGCATATTAATAGCTATAAATTTTTGACTGAGAACAACCATAACCACCTACGCTGACCGCAGAACGCGCAGCTAAACATTCTGCCCACGCTCAGTCACATGGCAAGCAATATCCCGTTCTTTGATGGAAACCCAATCAACCTACCACTATTCGAAAGGATGGTAAGGATGACTGCGGAAAGGGTGGGCCCAGAAAATGAATTATTTTTTCTTGGCACACTTGCGAGCAGACTAAAGGGAAAAGCGGCTGAACATTTCACGCCCAGACTGGCTCAATTTATGACAGTTCAGGAATTTCTTCAGGAACTTGCGAGGAGATATAGGAGCATAAATAATTCGGACACGCTGATGGCACAGCTAAAGATAATTAGACAGCAAAACCGGAAATCGATATAGGATTACGGTGGCAGAGTACAAGGATTGTATAATAGGCTGACTATGCTGCATGATTGTAATCTAAGCCTACTCCCTATTCATAAGCAGGTTCTGAAAGAAAGTGCAGAGGCAGAGGCAGTAAAACAATTTACATATGGCCTGCACCCAACATATACATGTAAAATTACATGTTTAAACCCAAGGACCCTCTGCGCAGCAATTATAAAGTCGCTGAAAATAGAGAGCGATCTTAGCTTACGGCATGCGATCTTAGCTTATGGCATGCGATACCAGTACGTACACTGCCGCACACAATAAAGCAACAACCGAATGGGGGCCAATAGTAAACCTGGCAAATATAGGAGAAAGAACAACAGAAATCACCAATGGGACACAAGGAATAGCAGCAGCATCAAACGTAAAACGCTGTGTATGGATACTGCGGCGGCTAAACCGGGCATTCAGTCGAAGAATGCCGAAAACTGTTAGCGGTGATAAACGACAGAAAAACGCT